TTTTCGGGATTTTGAAGTAAGAGCTCTTTGGGAGCGAAGCACGCGTCAAAGGTATAATTCTTGTTCTTAATCTTGTTTGATTAAGTTTATTATGCTTGTTTAATTGCTTTAATTAAGGGGCGGGCCTTGGGACACTACGAAACCCTACATAGCTGTCCTTGGGACACGCTTTGTTCAAGTTAGTGTAATCCACACACATTCGCCAGGTACCATTCGGCTTCTTTACAAGTACCACATTTGCAACCCAGTCAGGGAAATAACATTGCCGAATGAACCCTGCATCAAGCAGCTTTTTAACCTCGGCGGCTGCCGCCTGACTTCTTTCTTCACCATGGTTCCGCTTCTTTTGCCTGTCCGGCTTCTTTCTCAGATCCACAACCAATTTATGTACCGCCAGGTCAGGACTGATGCCTGGCATATCATGAACTTCAAATGCAAATATGTCTTTGAATTCCTTCAAAAGAAGGTGAAAATCTTCAACCAAAATTTCAAGAGCAGTCGTCCCAAGCTTGACCGTTCGGTCAAGACGTGAGTCATCCAGCACGACATCCGTGTGCTCACCAGCCAGCTATGGGCGGAATTCATCCGACCGCTCCTCTGCCAGTGATTGCTATCTTTTTTCTTTTATCTCGACCCCCAATTGGGCAGCCTTTCTTTTCTTGCCGCCTGCTTTTTGAGCAAGCGCATCCTCCATGATAAGTTCAAGGACAGTTTTTTCACCACTTAGGCGAGCAGCCACCACAGTGGGTTTGATATTCGAGAGGTAGCACTCTCGAGCCATCTTCTGATCTCCCCTTAGGTAGCCGACTGTTCCATCATCCTTCTCAAATTTGAGCAGCATAAGAGAGGGGATAATGACAGCTTTAGAGTTGTTCAGGGTGGGTCGTCCCAGGATCATGTTATAGGCCGAGAGTTCCTCAACCACTAAGAATGAAACCACCATATGACGGCCCTCCCCTTTCTCACCCAGGAGGATGGGTAGATCCATTCGCCCTACTGGGTGTACGACTCCTCCTCCAAACCCTACTAAAGTGTGGGATACCGGATGTATGCAATCAGTCTTGTACTTGAGCTTTGCCAAGCACTTGCTACTGATGAGATCAAAGGAGCTACCGGTATCTATGAGGATCCGGCCAACTCTTTGGTTGGCCACCTTGCACTCAATGACAATGGGGTCATCATGCGGCCCCTTAACTCCTCCCAGATCTTCTTCTGTGATGACAATCTCTGGGAACGAACTGTTGGCGGTCCGTTCTTGGTGAACGGAATTAACATCTAGCCGCCTGATATTGTCTTTGTTGCCCCTGATAGTGGGGCCGCCTCCTGAGAAGCCGCCTGCTATGGTGTAGATGACTGCGTCATCAGTATCAGAACTGTCGGCCGACTGATGATTCTTTTTGGCCGACTGCTTGTTCTTTAAGGAAGTGTTCCCCTTGGACTTCTTGACATAGGAGTTAAGGTCGCCTTGTTCAGCCAGGTGGTCCAGGTAGTGCATGAGGCTGATACATTCGTTGGTTTCATGACCAACATCTTCATGATAATGACAGAATTTATCCTGGTTCCGATTGCTTGTAGAACCCTTCATGGGAGCCGGCTTCTCAATTGAGATCCGACTCTTGATTTCTTTGAGGATAGCTTGGCCATCCTTGTTCAACGCATACTTCGGAGAGTATGGTTTGAACTCTTTCTTCTTTTTCTGGGCGGCTGTTTAGAGGAGTCGACCGCCTAGACTTCTTTCCTCTTTTTCTCATCTTTATTGGCCGACTGCTTTGGTCAGCTTTCTTTTTTGTCAGACCTCCGCCCATCCGACTGCTTTCCAGTGTTACAGAGATCAGTCGCCTGTATATAGGCTTCAGCTTCAATCAAAGCTTCTTGAAGAGTCGCAACTCGTTTCCGGACCAGGTCGAACTTGATGGTCGACCCATCCTTAAGACCTCTGAAAAAATCTGTATAGGCTACCTCATCCGGCAGCCCTTAAATCTGAATCCTCATCAGGTTGAACCGCCTGATATAGGAACGGAGTCCCTCCTTCTCACCCTGCTGAATGGTCCCTAAATCAAGGGTCGTCTTCTTTGCAGGGATGTTCACAGCAAAGTTGGAGGTGAACAAGTAGGCAAGCGTCCTGAAATTATTCACACAACCAGTCGGCAGGTTACCGAACCATTGTTGTGCGATTCCTTTTAGAGTAATTAATGTTGGGATCATCCAACCCTTGGAGGTACATTAGGTTGGTGAACGCCATCAAATGGTCTTCAGGGTTAGTAGTTCCATCATAGGCGCCTACTAGCACATTCTTAACTTTGGCCGGCCAGGCGGCTTCTGTAATTTCCTTGGAGAAGGCGGACGGCTGTTCTTTAAGTCTTAGCAACCGTAGTTGCCAGTCCAAGGGTTGGACATTTTTTGCCGACTGCCCTCCAAACAGAGGTGGCTGCAAGAAGTATTGTTGTTGCGGTACGTATGACATGTTTGGTATCGCCTGCTCTTTATGAAATCCAGACCGACGGGAGGTACCGCCTGTCTGACTCTCATAATTTGATTGAGTACACCTCATAGAGGTATTATGTAGACTATCTTGGATTTCTGAAGTGGAGGCCGACTCTGACAGTCGGTCATTCTTCATCTACTCTAGAAATAGCCGAGCATCTGAGTATGTTTTCTTTGACCCATCCGCTTGTACATGACGAATGGCCTTCCTCTTCCCTGGTGAGGGAAAACGATACTTTGTTAAGTTGATCACAGGCGGCTCCCACTTCCTAGAGTTAGGGTGGGGGTCGCCTCTCGACCCTGAACAGGCTTCCTTCTTCCTGATTGAGAAGGTTTTCTGGCCGACTGCTCCATAGAGGGAGCAGGCGTCTTCTTACTGATCAATTCTTGGATCTCCCCCTTGAACACCCTCATGAAGGTCATGAGTTCATTCCGTGTAATAGGAGCAGATCCTTCAGCTGCCTGTTGCTGATCAGGCGTTGAACCAGCTAGATTGGTGGGTCCAGCTTGGTAATCTACCCGTTCTTTCCTTCCGGTGTGACGGGTGCATCGGGCCCTTAGGGTCCCGTCTGAGGCCATGTGTGTTTAAACCTCAACCTCATTCTCAGTATCGTGGTCTGAGTAGACTTGAGGGTCGTCCTCTGGACGCCTCTCTTCTGGATTCGGTACAGACTTAGATGCCATCTCGAAAGTACTCTCCCCATAGACGGCGCCAAAATATTTTGGGGTTTTCTAATGTTAGCGGGAGAGTTACAACTCCGAGACTGGAATCGGGCGCCTGTACTTGGAAAACAACGGAGACTCCGGGTGGTAGGAGCTCCGCCTCTAAAGGTCAAGTTAGTACTTGTTTAAGGAGTAATTAATGTGGAAAAAGGTAGTGTTTTCTCTAGGTGAGAGTAATTAATGGGCGTAATCCCTTTAATGAGGATTAGTAATTGTATTTATAGTCTTGGGATGCGTGCCAGTCCTAGGTTTAGGTCAACCTAGCGCTGATTGGGCTTCCACAAGTCCTTGGGCCTTGGTGGCCAGCTTTTCCTTTTGGCATGGGGAGGACACGTGTCGTGTCCTAACTGGTCCATGTTGGACTGATCAGCACCTTACACGTGGCAGGCTCCTATTGGCCCATGCAGCGGACACATGGCAGAACCTGGTTGGTCCACTTGTCAGATGGTGATTGGTAGGGAAAAATTCCCTAATCAGTAGGTGCGGTGCTTGGGCAAAAGAAAGAAGGAAGATCTCATGTCATCTACTATGCAAGTAGAACACTTGATGAAGCACAAATGAATTACACAACGACGGAAAAGGAAATGCTTGCGGTTGTGTTTGCCATGGACAAGTTTAGGTCCGATCTTATTTGCGCAAAGGTGATTGTGTAAACGGATCACATAACGGTTCGCTATCTGATGACCAAGAAGGACGCTAAGCCACGTCTCATCTGTTGCTTTCTTTCGCTTCATGATTTTGACATGGAGATGAGAGATAAAAAGGGAGCGGAGAAATATACGGCGGATCATTTATCTAGGCTTCCTTTTGGGAACAAGGAGGATGTGCCAATCAATGAAGAAGTAGGATTTGAAACTCTCATGGCTAAGGCTTCAACATCTCGCCCGTGGTATGCAGATATAGCAAATTATCTTGCTTGCGGGGTCATTCCCCCGGAGTTTTCTTCTTAACAAAAGAAGAGGTTTTTCAAGGAAGTGAGGAGGTACTTTTCGAATGATCCCTACTTGTTTAAACAGTGTGGAGATGGCCTTTACCGGAAATGTGTTCTGGACCATGAAATCGAAGGAGTTCTTGAACATTGCCACTCATTACCATGTGGAGGACATAGGGAAGTTGATAAGACGGTGGCAAAGATTTTTCAATCTCTCCTATGGTGGCCGACGATGCATAAGGATGCTCAAAAGTTTATTTTGAGATACGACAAGTGCCAAAGGAGTGGTGGCATAACCAAAAGAGATGAAATGCCTCAACAAAACATTTTGGAGGTTGAGCCTTTTGATGTTTGGGGTGTCGACTTTATGGGGCCTTTTGTCTCTTCATGTGGGAATCTATACATCGTGGTAGCGGTGGACTATGTGACTAAGTTGATTGTAACTATACCCTCCCCTACAAATGATCATAAGGTTGTGCTTAAACTTCTCAAGAAAATAATATTTCCGTGGTTTGGGGTTCCTAGGGTGCTAATTAGTGATGGAGGTTCTTATTTCGCCAAGAAGCAATTTGAGGCTCTTCTTAAAAGGTATGGAGTTCATCACAAAGATGGTCTACCTTATCATCCTCAAACTCAAGGGCAAGTGGAGGTGTCAAATAGAGATATCAAGAACCTTCTCGAAAGGATGGTGAACAAGTCTAGGAAGGATTGGTCCCTCAAGCATGACGACACACTTTGGGCCTTGCGGACGGCGTACAAGACTTTAATTGGTACAACCGCCTATCGGTTGGTCTATGAGAAGGCTTGACATTTGCCGGTTGAATTGGAGTATAAAGCTTGGTGGGCAATCAAGGAGCTTAATATGGATATGTCGTTGGCCGGTGAGAAGAGATTTCTCAAACTCAATGAACTTGAAGAGCTTAGATATGATGCCTACGAGAACTCGAGACTATACAAGGAGAAAACAAAGAAATGGCACGACCAACATATAATGTACAAGAGCTTCAAGGTTGGAGATAAGGTGTTGTTATTCAACTCTAGGCTCCGTTTGTTTCCCGGAAAGCTCAAATCAAAATGGTCGGGAGCTTTCGTAATTTCAAGGACTACTCCTTATGGGTCTTTTGAGTTGGAGGCGGGAGACAACATGTTCATGGTTAATGGTCATCGTTTGAAGCACTACTTTTGTAAGGATGAAGTAGGCTTGATAGATAGTATGAGGCTTGATCCATTGGATCCTAAGCCACCTCTTGGATGATGGTTTATCATGGTCAAGCTAGTGACCTCAGAAAGAAGCGCTTCTCGGGAGGTAACCCGAGTTCTCAACTCTTTCTGTCTTTTATTTCTTTTATTTAATCAATCTTGGTTGATTTCTCTTTAGTTTCTTATTACGCGCTTTTTGTTCTTCTTTTTTAGGTACTTGAATCTTTGGGCATTTAGTCTAGGAATTTGAGAATGAAGGTGTTAAGGGGAGTTATGAATCGTAAGAGAAGATTGCAAATGGATTTTTAGTCTCAAGTCCTAAGGGGTTTATTGTGTCTTTGAAGATAGCCAGGAGATGCCCGGGAGAGCGCTCTCCATGAAGACCCGCGGGCGTGGCCCTTACGCCCGCGGGCGCGGACTGGGTTTCTATCCCCCTTTACTGATATTCTGGAGATGCTCAGGAGATGCCTGGGAGAGGGCTCTCCATGAAGACCCGCGGGCGCGACACTTAGACCCGCGGGCGCGGACAGGTAAAACCTGCGGGCGCGGCCTACTGTTCTCAGAAAAATTCGGAAATCGGAGATGCCCAGGAGATGCCTAGAAGAGGGCGCGACATTCTGACACGCGGGCGCGACCCTATCACCCGCCGGCGCGGCGAAGAGGTTCTGCGATTTTTACCCCTCTTTCCTCAGCATTTCCGAAACCCCTATTCCCCCTAATTTTGATTTTTGCTTCTTCTCTCTCTCTAAAACTCCAATCCTTTTCAAACCCTAACTCCTTCCACCTTAAAATCTCATTAAGATTCATCATAAAATCATCAAAAAACATCAAATTTCCTCACTTTCTCTCGAGTTTTCTCATCAAAGTCCGAAATTTCACCATTCAAGACCCCATTTTCGGTGTTTTTCTCAAGGTTCGAACGGCTCTAGCATTTCCACCATTGAAGGGACCTTGAAGGTGGCTTGGAATTCTTCTTCAAAAGACTAGTTAGAGTAGTGTTTTGCACTCATTTTTAGTATATCTCCTTCCCACTCTAGTTTTTCTTTGAATTTAAAGCATTTCCTTTGGTGAGAAAATTATTGTTCATGTGGGGATTTTTGATGTTTGCATGCCGATTTTGTGTTGGTTCATCTTATTGAGCATGGTTGATTGTTGATTTCTTGTTGACCTTTTTAATTGTTGTTGAGTTGTATTGCTTGGTTGGTGTTGCTTGGTGATTCCGAAAGTGTGCTCATTTTGTTGGATTATTGAAGTAGGGGAATTATTGTTGTGATTTGTGTGGTGTTTGATTGAAATTGGGTGTTGATATAATGGTGTTTGGTTCAAAGAAGAGAAAAAGTGGAAAGGAACCACAAGGTTCACCATCCAAAAACCCCCAACCAAATGAACAACCTCCTCCACCACCAATGCCACCCCTCAAATTCCACAATAAAAATTTAGACCCACAAAAAACTACCACCAACCCTCTACAACAAAGCTTGGCATAGACGATAATTGTTAGTTCCTATTAAACAATCTTAGGTTAGGCCCATTTGTGGCAAGTGCCTATCGGACATATAAGGAGCCCACTCTTGAGTTCCTAGCCTCCTTTGAATGTCATGCCACGAGGGATAAGGAGCTTTCCATCTCTTTTCAATTTTTAAACAAAAAAGAGACTGTTAACCTTCGCCAATTTAACCAACTATTGGACCTTAACCCGGACGCCGACATGTTCTTCCCCGAACACGAGGTCTTTCGTGATTATAATCCCCTTGCGCGGTGGAAATTCATCTCAAGGGTGGACGCCTTCAATGTTAAGTATTCCTTGGCCAATCAAATCATGCACCCGACCATCAAACTTCTACATCGAATCCTCGGGTACATTGTTTTTAATAAACAGGACTTGGGAAAGATCACAGCGGAGGAAATCCGAATTTTGTGGCTAGCTACACAGCCAGAGTTGGGGAAAAGAGTGAATTTCGGTTTCCTATTTACCAAGTGCATTGAAGGGGTTCTCTTGGGTACAAGGAAAGGGAAGATACATTTCGGTGGGATGATCACTCGGTTGGCCGAGAAATTGGGTCACATGGACAAGTTGCGTTCTTCCACTCTCATTGGGAGAAGTGATGGAATTGATATCTGGTTTGATCTTGATCAATTGAAAACGATGAAATTCATTGCGGATACGGAGGATAGAGGGTGGACTTGGAGTTTGCTAGTCTCCCACAAGCATTACTGTCTCCTCCCTAAGCCGGAGTTCACTTCTTTCACAAGGGAGGGGGTTAATCACCCTTGGTGTGTAAGGAAAGATTTGGGTGTGCTCCTGGTTGCAAGGATAGAAATTGGTGAAGGCCATGATGAAATGCATGACAATGAAGAGGATGAGAATGAGGTGGAGGTGATCCCTCTAAGTCAACAACAACAACAACGTCAGCATGGACATCGAAGATAACAACAACAACAACAAAAACAACAACAAAATCAACAACAATTTGACTACCATCAAGAGATGGCGGCAATGCGGACCCAAATGGAGAGCATGCAACTCGGCATGCAAGGTATGATTGCATCCCAACAACACCATTTTTTTCAAACCAACGCTCTTTATGACGCTAGCTTGCGTAGAGGGGATGTCACTCCCCTAGTTAACTACCCATATGTGCCGGCCTAACAAGGGCCCGTGCCATCATGGGGGGTGACAACCAACCTACATACCCCTACTTACAGGGTCCCTCGGACCCCAATGTGCCATGACGTGAGTTCCCTGACGATTCCGGTCATTATGACTACCGGGATTCAAGTGGGAGTGATTATAGGGGTAACCCTAACTACCCCTATGTTGATCCCTTTCACCCCTTGCCTCTTGCTCAACCCGATTCATATGACCAATTATCCGCATCCCAATTACACCTCTTCAAGGGTCATTATGGGTGGCCTCCCGGTTACAACGGAGGTTGGGAACCCCGTGGCCCCTCTTCGGGCTTTTCTTACGATAGTTGAAATGCAGATAATGATGGTGTCGGCCCTAGTGGCCAATAGTTCCCCCCTTGATTTGTTGGTTTTTTCCCCCTTCTTAGTCCCTCCCTTTCATTGTCATTGCATATAGAGCATCGGGGACGATGCTCTTATCTAGTGTGGCGGATGTTTGAAGTCAAAAGGGGTGTAGTTTGGGTAAGTGTGGGGGAAGGCACCAAGAACTCATGGGAACAATAAGGGGATTAGTTTGATTTGGTCTTATTGCATGGTGTTGTTGGTAAGCTCTTGGTAGCATTGTTTTTGTTTGTTGTTAATGATGTCTATTTTTATGATAATGATGAGGATTTGAGATTGAGTTGAGTTTAGGTAGTTGGTTATGCCTAAGAATATGAGTTGATAGATCTTTCACTCTTTTTCCTTCTAACTTTTATCTTTGTTTAGTGTTTGTTTTGCTTTTATCTCTCTCTTTTGTAGCTTCGAAGAAAATTGGAAGCAACTTTTGGAGACATGTAAATTGTAAGGTTGCTTCGTTATTCTTCAAGAGACATATGGGTGAGATCCTTCCTTTACTCTCTCTCTTCTTTCTTTTGGCGTGCTTAGTTTAAGACTAGTATAGGAAGAAGTTGAATGGTTCAAGGTTGTTTGCATTTGGTTCTAAGGAACCTGGGATCATTGGTGTTGATACCGAAAAGTCATTGTATGTCGATTCGGATTTATTTGGATTTATATGCCTCATTTGTGAACCTTTTTTATTTCTTCCTCCCTCTCATGTTTAATTTTCGTTTTTGTGTGACAAACATAAATATGGTAAGATGATATGAATATGTTTTGGAATTTGCTTGTACATATAGACTCTATTTCCTTGATGATGCGCCTTAGAATGCTGTTTCTTCTTAACTTTATGATGAGATGCACGGTTTGAGATTGCCTTTGGTTGAATTAGACGAACCTTAGCTAAGGTAGCAAGGTTAAGAACTTGAGAGGGCGTTTGAACACTTAGTTCATGGGAAGTGGTAAGATGGAGTTGCTCCCTGTTTAGGGTAAAATTACCCTATGCCACGTGGTCCAATGGCATGCTCACACGTGTCAGCCCTAGAGAGGACCAAGGGTATCCAATCGAATGCTAACACGTGGCACTATAACCCTAATAGGGGAACCGATCTCCGTCTACTATAAATAGAGGAAAGTCCTCATTTATTTCACATTCAGGAACAATCATAAATACAAATACAAATACCGAGCAATATTAATTGCAGAATCTCCCGGAATCCGAGAGACTATTTACTTTCTGTAGTCTTACCCCCTAAGACGTATTCTAACTTGATCGTCGGAGGCGGAACTCTAACCAACCGGAGTCTCCGTGCTTTTGCAGGTACAGGCGGTCGGCTACCATTTCTGGTGTCGTAACTCTCCCGTAGGACACATCAAAAAACCCCGAAACATTGGCGCCGTCTGTGGGAAGGGTACTTCTAGAATGGCATCCCATGAGTCTGTACCACTTAACAACGAGAAACGGCCTCTGGTCGAACCTGAGGTCCATACGGACCAAGATAGTGGCGACGACCAAGGGGTCGAAGCCTTTATGGCCCCAGACGGGTCGTTCAGATCTAGGCGCTCCCGTCCCAAGGAAACAAGGGAACGGGATAATGACAAAGGTCTCAGCCACCCAGCCAGCCAACTAGCTGAACAAGCCCAGACGGCTGAGGGTGCTGCCCCTGTTACCAAAGACGAACTCATTAAATTCATATGTAGTTTCAAAGGGGAAATCAAGGACCTGATAAGCAAGAAGGCAGGCTCCCACAAGGGTGAAAGGAATGGTGTCCTTCCAACAAGTGTATTATTCTGATAAAGGGTTCAGAATTATTACAGAGCTAATTCTTCAGTAAGGTCAAGTGATCGGAATTCCTAGGTGGAGGCCGCTTCTGACCAGTAATATTAAGGTATAATTAATATTACAGCTTAATCTTAACAGAACCCTTCGGGTCGAGGCCAATCGAACAATCGATCCAAGACGACGAATTAATCCAAGATTTAATGAGTCGTCGGAGTTTTACGAACGCACATGTTGGATATCGAGCCTAGGGCGTCGAGACCGAGTGT